ATCCATATCACAGTACTCCTGGCACAGTTACCTCCAATACCTCATTTTCTGCATTTCATATTGTTATTGGATCTGGGACCAGCCCTTGTTAATTCTGCAAAAGCCAGGATCACAGGCAAGGGGACTTCCCTTATGATGCAAAGCCTCATCTGCTCATCACAGGAGTCTGGAGCACACCAGCTTCCACAAACACCACAATTCATCTTACTGGTCCATCAATCTGTACAGTAATCTTTGAGGCTGAGCAAACCACTGAGTCTGAACTGGAATAAAACTGCCTTGGCAGAATTCAAGGAGACAAGACAATCAGTTCCCATATTACACACGCATCCAGCTGCGATCAACTGAGCTTGTGCTTATGTAATCAGCCATGTTATTGCATTGCTGCATCTTTAACTGAATAAAATTGTAGCAAATTAGTTCTGGTGCTGTGGAGAATTACCTGCTGTGCAGAATTACCTGTTCGCTCTTTGAACAAAGTTCATAAAAAGCACACAAAAGCTGTTTATCCCATAAAATTGCAATTTGGACCGTGCAGCCAGAGCACAGCTGACCTAAGGTAGAAAGTTCACAAGCCACTCAGCTCTGCTTCCAAATTAATCCCTTACATAAGCTTGACATAACGCAAACATGGCTTTTTGGCATGGGCAGGCTTCTTGAAGAGCTGCATCACACTTTCCCAGGTGCTCTCTAAGATCTCCCTACCAAAAAGCTCAATGCAGTTTTCTTTCAGAGCTGGAGAAGTGAGAGCAGCCTGGATCACACTAACAATATCACTCAGGGTACTTAAATGTTCTTAATTTTTGTAATATGCTCAAATAAAACTACATTTGAACACAAGAGTTGGACTGTTTTGAATCTAATAAGCATATGACAACACAGGAACACCATTATTTTAGTGGTGTTTCGCCAAAGGCCCATGACAAGTAGCTATCCGATTAAGAATTGTTTATAAAATTAGAAACTTTTTTCCCCCTTGGCATTCCTGTTTTCATGCCTCAAATACCAGAGCTGATAGCACTAACAATTCTGAAAATTAATGGTCAGGAAAGCACAATCCCCGCCATGTGGTATAAAAACCTCATCTCTCCCTGCAAAGCTCAATGTAATCTTAACTGGGGATCACAACAGATGTCACACTAAAGAAAATATTTGCTCCCATCGAATGCACTTGGCAAATAGCCAGGAGAGGTAAAGAGAGAGAAGAGCTAAGAAAAGTGAGGAACTTGCTGCTGCTTCCAAAAGTATAATGGGTTAGAAATAAACGCTAGCTGGAAATAAAGGAAATGGCTTAACAGATCAGTCAGTCATTACCAATCTGAAAAGAGGTGCCGTTATAATTTTATTTCAAATATAAAACCCAGGTAAAGATCTAGTTTTCACTTAGTAAAACTGGGAGCTGTGAAACAGCTGCTATTCAAAATTATTTCTAATAACCCTGTTGAAGCCACTAAGCATTAAGGCAAACAGAGGATCCTGATCCTCCTAATAAACACAGAATGTTGGGATAAACCTGCAGGTGATGAGCTACAGCCACTCCAGATACAAACACAGCCAGCTGCACCTAACACACAAACAGCCATCAGAACACATCCAACACCCAAATAATCAGAGTATCCTTTGGTTTGAATTTTTTGGTGAGAGCATACTTTACCCTGGGAGAAAAAACCCGCTGTATTGAAGATATACACAAGCTTCTACAGGAAACTGCTCTATCATATTAAGCATTATCCAACTCTTGCTAATTCTATAGGAAGGGTTCTAGGAAAGAGCTCCCACTGCAATAAGGTTTGAGAACAAGGTGGGTTCTTCTGTCTTCTCTATCAGACACAAAACCACCTAACACATCAGACTCATTCCCTTGAAATGAGCTCTATGAAGCTGTGGAGCTACACTTCAGTACTTCCAGTTGATCTCCAACATCAGCAGACCCCCAATAATAAAGTCAAGCAAATTAAGAGAAACTCTGCCTTTTGAGGATGAAGAACTGCAAAGGTATTAAATGGCTCCTCAGTGCTGCCTGCAGCACAGGCCCACACCCACAGCAGTTTTTGTTCTTTTTACTGTGTTACTCTCACTCATAAATCATCCTTCAATTAAAAACAATTTTAATTAATAAATACCCCCTGTGCCTATGCCGTGAGCCATTTACACTAAAACTATTAAAGCACACTGTGTTGAGTGTCAACTATAAGCACTGACAGCTTTTTTCCAGGCCTATGAGTAGTTTGCACTACTGTAAAAGCACAGTTGCAAGTAAACACCTCATCAGTCCTAGGAATGCTGGGCACCCACAAGGAATCATCTTGGAAAGAACATGATGTCCAAAGCCAGTAGGACAGAGGGCTGCAAAATGTGAGACCAAACCAGCATCAAGAAGACTCAGTCCCAGGCATTCAGCTGGACAGTCGCCAAGGTAGCTACTCAACTTTCCAAGCTCTTCTCCCTGTCATCCTTCCAAAGCTTCCCAGTCAGTATCCCTGCCTTTGGAAACAGGACCACTGTTGCTTCCATCTCCTGATTTCAGAATGCAAACTGGGAGATCAGCACCTAAAAAACCTGCTTTCTACAGAAATCCCTATTGACTTCCCCCCTACCTTTACTTACCTTTCTAGGTTCAAAGAGCACTCAAGTCCCGAGAGTTTACCTTTGTCTCTTAAACTATACCCCAGTGATTCAGTCCCCCTAACAGAGACTCAGGCTGTATCCCACCATCTCAGAAATCCAAATATTAGTGTGTCTTCATACAAGGGAATGACTGAGGCAGCCCCAAACTACAAGTACGTCCTTATTGCAAGCCCCATTCAAACACAAAAGCGCCTCCCCTCACAGGGCAACAGCAAGCGCTGTTTGCTGGGAATTTGAAACAAGAAGCTGGTGTGTCTTCCTTAAACTGAGAGTTGATTAGAGCTAATGAAACATTAGAGTGGCAGTTGCTCTTTGGTATTTTTAAAGAAATATTTACACTCCAAGGGCTTGACCCTGCCCTAAGAGATGACTCAGTGCCAGTAACAATGCTAGTTTGTACAAGACAAAGATGCCCCAGATCACACATTGCAAAGCTGTCAACCTATGGGCAACTTTAATTGGAAGTTAAAAGTGGAATTGGTTCGCTATTTTGTATGATTCACATTTAAAGTTTCAGATCAATGGCTCCGCATAATCCCCAGGAGAACAGTGGAATAAACACTTCTGAAGGAAAATATATGGTACCTCAGTGATCATATAGCCAGCTGTGCCAGCACATTCCAGTCCTCACCCTACCCCACCTCCCCAGGTCACTCCTTCGTTTCACAGGACCCCTTCTCCCTGTCCCACAGGCTGCAGCCCACCTAAATTTCAGTCATACCCACATCATGTTATTTTGCAATAACTACATTAATTGTGCAGCAGCCTAAAGACTGTCAAAGTTGCAATAACATCAGACATCCAACTGTTCACCAATGCGTTGGGTGGGGTGGGAACATAAATTTTTCAGCCAGCACAACCTCCCTTCCCCCATGAGGGCACCAGGTAGAAAAGCCTGCCATCTAGTTTGTCAGCCTGCATTAGCAGCGTGGCAGAATTACATCCTTCACCCTCCCATCAGCTTGACAGTGCCCAACAACCACCACTGTAAAAATTATGCAGGACGTCGAGGGTCTGGGGGGTTGGTTTGTTTGGCTTTTTTGTGGTTTGGGTTTTTGGTTTGTTTTTATTTTTAAACGTCTCTCTTACATAGCAAAACACGGGTAGGTAGTATTTTCTTTTGTTTCAGATATACTGTAAATACTGTTTAAAGTTCATGTACATTAACAAATGTTAGGGTATTACAAACAACTCCCGTTAACAACATGATCACCAACATCACCATTTTCTCTGGAGGCTTCCTACTTGGTGCTAGCTGTTAACAGCTTAATTAAGTCAGGCATCCTAAACCACAAACCAAAGCCAATCACCTGCAAGCTTTCATGGGCTGGGTACCCACCACAATGTTCTGCAGCCATTTAAAAAAAAAAACAGAGATGATAAGAAGTACAGAAGAAAACTTGACTCGTTTTGAGAAGCCACTGATTTTCCACTTCTTGATTCCCCCCATTACCTTTATGATTTATAGTCTTGGAAAACATTCCAGAAAATTTCTGCTATGATCTCTCTCAAGATATTTGCTCACTGCTAGATACCATTACTTGCTTTAGCTAAACTGCCTAATTGTCAGCCTGTGCAAACACATGATGGCCCACTAAGCAAGAAGCAATTTTGAAGTACTGAATGGCTTACGCAGTGTTTTCCCAATTTTTGTTTTTAACAGTTGTCTCAAATCTATTACTAGTAATAAAATGAACAAACTTAAGAGTACCACTTTAAAACACATCACCATTTTATAGAAAATAAAATACAAAGCAACAATATTAACCACTCCACAACTTTGATCACTTCCCATATTTGTACTGTATTATTTAAACTCTAGCAGAATCACAATGGCCACTAAACATTTAAAAATTGCCATGAGAATTCGCTTCGACATTAACAGGAACGTGAAAGGAAACACTCAACCTAAAGAGGCCACAACATAAAGCTCTTCAAATATAATAAATCTTTGTATTGGAAAGGCACAACACTACTCCATGTACACTCTACATTGTACAGCTGTAGTTTCTGTCCCTTGAGCTCCCTAGTCACGGTGGAATTCCACCGCTTGTCTGTGTTCATTGCACCACTTACCTGAGTGGTTCTTTCAGCTTCCAAGCACAGGCAACACAAACCCCCGTACGTGGCCGTCACTATGCAGAGACTCACGTGTTGGCTCTTTTCTCAAGAACATTGAGGATCACAGCATTATGTTCCAATGGATGGATTAACACTCAGCTTGTTACCCCCACTTGCTGAGACATTATAGCGCCTACACTTATAGCACAGGTCAAACTTGGCAGATTTTTGTAACCAAACACACAATTCCTATTATTCCTAGGAAATTAACTTAGTGTCTACATAGAGCACAAGACCCAGCTAGCAAAGCATGACAGTTATGTTCCCATTTATTTGCCACTATAAATGGAGTACAAAAAAAAAACAAAACCCAAACAAAAAAGATACTGAACAGTGCCACACCTGATCTATTGGTTGTAAGCTGAGCATTGTTGTAATACACGAGCAGTATTAAAAAGATTATTCAAAAACTGTTCAGGACAAGTGCTTGTTTACTGGATCTTGTGTTGCGGGGTAATTCTTTATTAAAAGGCAGTATTTGTTCTACAATGTACAGTTCATATATGGGAGAACAGGAAGCCAATATGCCAACTTAAAAACTAAATTTGTATTTCAAGTACTATGAGACCGTTCTCCGGTTTGCTGGCAGCAAGCTGACAATGGGATTCTGGGTGAGAAAAGTTAACATTTTAGAAACAAAATGTAAAAATTGATTTGTGTTAATGTGATGAAGTGTATATGCTTGCGCACACCTGGAATGGGAGTGGAGATGAGAGTAATGAGCCCTGGGGACACACTCCTCAAGCCACTGGGCATGGATAAACAATTTTTGTCTCATTTATAGCTAAATTTTACCATGGACAAATGGAGCACCGAAACTATTCCAAGCCCTATATGAAGCAAAACACTTCCAAATAAGGCTCAACTAATACAACAAATTGGAAAATTCAAATTAACAGAACGACCTCAAGCACAACAGCTTAACAGCAATCATCAGTGTTAGGAAAGTCCTTTGGAAAAAAGCTTTATCTCCAGATTAAAATGGTTGCTAACAACAGTACAACAGTGAAGTGAAATCCAGGTAATCCCACAACACAAAAATCTCAGTATGGTTGGAATATAGAAAGTTGCTACTCACAACCTAGAAAAAAAAGAAATCGATCAACATATCGTATCATTTCACAGTGTGTAAGTTAGTATTTATGAAGAGAAGCAAATATTCCATGTGATCACTCTTGTGTTCTGCTTCATAAAGGACAACACTTGCAGATGGCTACAGCTTGTTTTCTCTTCCTTGTTCCTCTGCTAGCCATTAGAGTGGCTTATAGCTGTTACCGATACTACTTTACCACAGGAAAGCCAACTACATCCTTTATCAAGGAGATACATAAATGCAAAGACATAGAAAAATGCTGTGCCGTTTCCTTTGCATTATCAAGATTAAGTGTAGAAGAGTGGAAAGACGAGCAACGCAGTAATAAGACAATCCTCCCAAAATGAAATCAAAGAGTGAATTTTACACTGAAATAAAAAAATACACATGAAAATGAAAAAAATTTGCATTTCACATTAGAGAAACATGACCTGAGTTTCTAACCAATTGCATTTTTCCATTATTTCTAAATTCAGAAATTCATTATTTATGTCTGTCCTGCTATTCTGTTTTTTCCTGGGATAGAGTTTATTCTCTTCATAGTAGCTACTACGGGGCTATGTAACAGTGCTGATAGTACACAGATGCTTCCGTTATTGCTGAGCAGTGCTCACACACAGGCAAGGCCTTTTCTGCTCCTCACACCACCCCACCAGCAAGGGCTGGGGGTGCACAAAAAGTTGGGAGGGGACACAGCTGACCCCAACTGACCAAAGGGATATTCCATGCCATGTGATGTCATTCCTAGCAATATAAAGCTGGGGGATGAAGAAGGAAGCAGGGGGCTTCAGAGTGGTGACATTTGTCTTCCCAAGTCATCGTTACACGTGATGGAGCCCTGCTTTCCTGGGGGTGGCTGAGCACCTGCCTGCCCCCAGGAAGTGGTAAATGAATTCCTTGTTTTGCTTTGCTTGCACGTGTGACCTTTGCTTTACCTATTAAACTGTTTTTATCCCAACCCACAAATTTTCTCACTTCTTCTCTTCAGATTCTCTCCCTCATCCCATTGTGGGGAGCGAGTGAACAGCTGCGTGGTGCTGAGTGGCCAGCTGGGGTCAAACCACAACACCCATAAATTGGGAAACTAACCACAGCAAAGTGAAATTCCACCTTTTTGACTGTAGTTGGAAAGTGAGTAATGTAGGTTTTTTAACTAGCAGTTTAATTACTTGAAAATGTAATGCTTGCTTCATGCCAATATTATGTTCACAGCAAGCCAGAAAAATACTAGGAACAGCAAAAATAGCTACAAGATTTTTTTTAAAAAATATATAATTATTTCATTCTAATTCTAGGTGAAGACCTCCTCAGCTCAACCAAGTAGAACCCGGATAAAGAACAACTTCCATCAGCATCAAAGAGAACACCGGTACACATTGAAGATGAGCACAAGTCTTATTCTAACCAGAGTCGAGGCATTAACCTCATCTTTGTACACATGTATTATACATTTTGAAGAATGCTTTTCCTTCAGCTCACAAAAATTTAATTTACAGTCCGTGGTCATCACATGATGATGATCTTCATTCTAGTCCTGTTTGCCTTCCCGCCACTGTCGAGAACCTTCATTCCACGCTACATACACAAAGAGAGCAAGGACCACATGAACAGTAACTACAGCAACTATGGCAGCATAAAAATAGCTGTCTCTGTCGGACATTCCTAAGGTACCTGAGAAAATAAAGAAAGTAAAGAATATTAGTTATCAGGAACACTGAAACAGCAAATCACAATTCTTCCTAAAGACCAAAGTCACATTTACTCCTGTATCAAAAGACTGAGCTCAGAAAGATTTACAGGAAAGAATACAGACCTTGAAACTATTTCTGGAATAAAGCAACACTGCAATTATTCAGTACTTAAGATAAAACACCCTGGTTCTGAAGTCAACAGCTTAGAGTTCTATAACATTCACTTTTTCTGTTACTGTCTTCCAGCACCAAATGAACCTCAACATCCTATGTTCATAAGTGTAACTCACTTTGTGGGGAAGTAAACTGAGGAGAGGTTGATAATTATATAATTTATTTGCCACCAGAACACTATGAAACAGTAGAACAACGATTAAATTTAGACGACTTCTACCTACTATATTTATATCTTAAAGCAATAATTTGTCACCAGTTAAGATACATAACTGCATCTCACATGAAATAAACCTTCAAATATCAGAAGACCAAATACCAAAGTATAATTTCTCTTCATTCATTTAAAACAAAAAACACCCAAACAAAACCCCACACATTACACCACACCAAAAATACCACTCTTCAAACACAAACCCAGTGCTATCAGCACTGACAGATCTTGCCGTTAACTGACACGGCAAAGTTAAGGTCAGCTTGCTACACCTCCAGTTAAAAAACAAAACATGTTTAAAAGAATCCTGAAAGTTACTTAAACTTTCAGCTTTGGCCTTCAGAACTGCATACAACAGTACACATCCAAGGAGAATCATCTTGGAACTCATTTATATATTCACAAACTGCTCTTAAAAACAGCAGCTTTCTCCCTCCCTTCTCCCTCCTTTTCAAGGAGATACTTCTTTCCTGCAGTATTAAGAAGTTATTAAAGCCTTGCAGAATCCAGGCTAGAACATGGCACATTGTTAGCTTTTTTTTTTTTTTTTTAGTTAAAAGAAAGCTCTACAAACAACCATATTCAATATCTGAAACTGGGTACTTAAAATGGTTTACACTTACAAATGCAGGTATGTTTTAAAAAGCAAAAAATAAACCCAGTAAACAACACTACTCTGTCTTGAATACACAATTAGTTTGCAACACCAGCAGGAAACATATCCCTGATGCCGCATTGTGGTGTTAGCTTTGGGGAACGATGCACCTATATACTACATAAACCACTGTATTACAAACAGCAAATACTAGATTGCAGACCGCAATGCAAGGAAGAATGCGTTGACCATTTATATAATTTTCTGTTCTAATTAGGCATTACGAGGCCTTTAGCCTGCATAAGGAAAGAAATACTCAAAGCAGGAAGGAGAACAAAGATGTTATTAGAGGACTGTGTTTTTCCTCTTTTTCGTAACATTAGCGCTAATTGGCAGAAACAGAATTACCTTCAAATACATAAGCCTTTGATGAAAAATATAGCCCAACAGGTAATGTGATCATTAGAGCTGTGAAGAATAGAAGTGTTCTTAAAGTTGATGTTAATGAACCCTCATTTCTGAAATAAATAAGAAAAGTTACATATAGAAGAAAGTTGCAATATATATGCCTGAAACAGGATAACAGCTTGTCCCAAAAAGAAGCCAATTACTTTCCAAGAATTGAGTACGTATATCATTTGGAAGTGATAAAGATTTGAGTATGCATTTGTTGGTTGCAAGAGAAGAATCACTGTACTCAAAACAATGTAATGATTCTGCCAGTCAAAGCTCACAAACAACACTAAAAACAGCATTTAGATTTTCCCTGTTATTGCTTTGCAAGCATCAACAACATAGGCAGTTTACATTAATATGCTTATTGGTGTATTATTCCATAATTATTAAATATCTAATATTAGATACACGTGCACTTGTCATATGACAGCATTCTGCACTAAAACTTGCCAAGTTCCCTTTTTTTAAAAAAACCAAAAAAAAAAGTAATACAAGTCCAGGAAAATGACAAATGCTACAGGCTAGGATACAGAGGGAAGTATAGAATGACTTTAACAGCTTACTGTTGGAAGTTAAGTTCCTTTTTATTAGGTATTGTTCCTCTATTTAAAATAATTTCTCAGCTTCCACTGAGAAAGTTAGAATAACTGTGCCAATAATCAGAATACGTAGCCAATACACCAAAACATTTGTAACTTTTTTTGCCTTCACAGACCTAAACCTAAAAGCTCTTGAGCAAGAGAATCTTAATAAGCCATTATGTACTTGGTAAGGTCTCCCTGAACTTGATCTGCCAGAACAGGTTTTGTGTCTACAAAACACCACATAAAGCTTGGTTTTGTTTGTGCTTCCACCAGTTTTCACTGGCCCTGCTTGGCTGACTACATTATTTTATGCTGAAGTAAACATGTAAGCCAAGCAACACTGTTCTGACTTTCAAAGGTTCAATGGCACGTGTCCTTTAGGTTTTGAGACACAAATATGCATAAAACCGGTTCACACATCAGGGATAACTAATTCTTAAAACTCCCAGGCAAGTTCACAGCAATTTTTGTGTAAGTGCTCCAAAAAGTTTTATCAAGACATATTTGTGCTGTAGAACATTGCTTGAAATCGCCTTTTATCTTTGGAAAAATAAGTGGAAGCAGAGAAAAAAAAAAAATCTCATCCTTTCACAGTCATCAAAAGACAGCAACGTGCAGCCACACGCAGGTTTTACACTAAAGCCAAAAGCACTTTTTGCTAACCATGTACATTTAGGTAGCATATTAAGTAGCTTTAAAGAAATAGGTATTCAAAATCTTTTCCTTTGCTAGAATTTTCCTCAAAGTCTCTCTGTATGCAAAGCATAACTCCAGTCAAACTTTCCCTATGGAAATTAGAGCCTATTCTCTATTTAACACCTACACGTAAAAGAATAAGATGACCTCCAGCTTATTACCAGAGCTACGAACTCCACTGTTGGCAAATCCTTTTCTTACACCGACACACCCCCTCACCACTTCCTTGCGCAGCAAAAACACACGTTCGGGTATAACCTCGGCCCGGACGTGAAGATTTTAACCGCACATCAGCCCCCACGCTCAGGTTTCGAGGCCGCCCAGGGTTACACCGCAGGGCCAAGGCAAACAGGAGGCCTCCTCCACCCCCTCCGGCTACTCCCGGCCCCGGCTGCACCCCCAACCACGGCCGCCGCCACCCCGGGCTGGTGGTACCGCCATCCCCGCCCGCCGCGGCCTAGCGCACACCCTTTCCCCCGCGCAGGCCGCGGCCCGCCACCAGGCCCCGCCGCCCGCCAAGGGGTGCCCATCCCCTCCCGTCGACCAGGCCCTGTTCCCCGGAACTCACTAACCTGAAGTCGGGCGGGGAGGCCGCGCTCAGCGCCGTCTCACCGTAGCGCTCCATCGCCGCCCCCTCAGCGCCCCGCGTTACCGAAGCTTCTGGTGTGCCGGAAGCCCGCCGGAGGGGGCATGCGCAGAGCGGCAGCGCCACCGTCTCCATAGTAACCGCGCGGGGTCATGGCGGCCCCGCTGCGACTGAGGGCCTGGGGAGAGTGGCGAGCGGCGGCCGCCGGCTCCTAGCCTGGGGCCCAGGCTGCAGCCATGGCTTCTGCCGTGCTTGGGCAGGGCAGTCTGTGTGCAGGGGCTCACCGCAGCCTTGAAACAGCAGCGCCGTCCGTGCCGCTCAGGGGAGCTCTCCCGGGGGGAGGCGGAAGGTGCCGGCCTGTGGAGAAAGGGCGGTGGAGCACACTGTGCTGGGCGCAGGTCAAGGCCTGTCAGCAAACGGCAGCGGCCTCGGTGCCAAAAATTAAAATAAAATGAAATAAAATGTTATTGAGATGCTTTGATAAACTCACCAGTACAGAACACTATAAATGAAAAAAAAACCCATTGGCTAAGGGCTAAGAGAAACCTGGATCTGTTTAGCCTGGAGAAGACTGAGAAGGGACCCTCATCAATGCCCATAAATATCTAAAGGGCGAGTGTCAAGAGGATGGGGACAGACTGCTTCCAGTGGTGCCCAGAGACAGGACAAGGGGCGAGGGGCACAAACCAGAGCACAGGAAAGTCCATCTCAACAAGAGGAAAAAGTTCTTTGAGGGTGACAGAGCACAGGAACAGACTGCCCAGAGACGGTGTGGAGTCTCCTTCTCTGGAGATACTCAAAACCCGCCTGGATGTGTTCCTGTCCAGCCTCCTCTAGGTGACCAGCTTTGGCAGGGGATTGGACTAAATTATCTCCTTCCAACCCCTACATTTCTGTGATTCTGTCATTCTCTAAAGGGAAACTGCAAACGTTCTCTGCGTTGTCCTGTCAGGAGGGAGGTTAGCTCTCTACAGGTTTCCTGCTCTCCTTGCACTAAAGCGAATCAAAATTCCTTCTCCAGCCAAAGTGAAACTTCTGGTCAAAATCTGAGAGAAACAGTCCCCCGGTATAACTAATGGGTGCTGCAAATGAGAGGCCAAGCACTGGGGCAGATTTCACTGTCCTGTAGCCTGGCTGAGCAGTAAGCATTTTAAAGCTGACACTCTTCTTAAGCTTTTAATTCACATTCTTGTTGAAGATACTCTACTCTGTTTAAATACTTGTCAAGGTATGGATTCGCACCCAGCTTTTCAACAGAAGACCAGAGTGTTACGATCTCTGTGCTATGCAATCAGCCTCATTTGCAAGGGAATTGTTTATACTCAATGAACAGCTCTAGCAGGAACGCAAAGCATTGCAACTTCCAAACAATAGCTCTGGAAGCCGTTTAATTGAACGCTGCCATTTAATTGAATCTCAAATACTGCAGCAATAACATACTTGCCCCTTTTATGGTAAAACTGTGTCGCTGCCTTGCCACTCAGCCATGCCAAACCTTAACTCTGTGAGTCACTGACTCCACACATAGCTCTTTCCTCATGTTTTCCTGCAGCGTGCAGACACCCAGCGTTTCTGCAGCCCAGTGCTGTGGCCTCTGCCCTGCTCCTTGCTGCAGTGCCACATGGCAACCGGCACGGCACACTGGCCTCTTCTTCCTCTCACAGCACAGCATCTTCCTGCCTATGACCCTGGAAGAGAAGAACTGTAAGAAAGGGTTGTTTTCCTCACAAGCAGTAAGATCAGGAAATAAGCACTTTGTTCTTGGTAACTCCTGCTGTGAGCTTCCCTCCCAGATCTTACTCGGGGTGAATTTTCCTCATCTGGGCTAGAGGCAGCTACAGTGGGTACAGGTGGGAGGGATTGAACACCACTGTCTGCAGCAGTGATTTTCTCCCCTCTGATTGTGAATCGTGAGGCCTTTTGTCATGTTTTCACCAGTAAATATGAGAAAGTGAGTTTTGTTAGAAACATCTTTTTTTCAGCAGTGAACGTAGCTCGGCGGGTGGCTCCCTCCTGTTTGTTAAAATGCAGCACAGTTGAGGCTGTTGAGTGCTTGTGGAGGAAGGTCTGGCTCTCGTGCTCACACTTTCACTATAAACCAACCGATTTTACACTCTTTTACAACGTGACAGTCCTCCTCTCATTTGATTCCATTGCTGCCTGAGCCAGCAAGAGAGACAATTTTCATGAGGGGGGCAGAAGGGGGCTGCTGTAAATGAGGGGAGTGCCTTGCGACCCATACCCAGTTGTATGGGGATGGAAGGAGGGTTTGCTGTATAACATGAGCTTAAAACTTCAATCTAGTTCTTAAAAACATCTAATTAAACTCCAGCTTGCTACTCCAACCCAAATGTGTGAGCAGGTATTGTTTATTTATGGATTACTTAGTGAAAAAAAAATATTTGGCAAAAAAATTAGTGCATAGTTAAGATATAAATCAGACCACTGAAAAATATGAATGTAGGTGCACTGAACACTTAATCACCAGATACATGATGTTCTTTCCACTTCTGGTTTGACTTTCCTGTTTCTTTTCCCAGTAGGAAAAGTAATGACATAAGGCGTTTTAATAACAAAATAACAAACCAAGGAAACATAAAAGTGGAGTAAGTCTCACATCATATAAACTTACCATAATGATACGTATCAGTCATTAGAAAGTAGCAAATCACTCAGGGCTTAACAGCCCAAGTCATTAATTTTTAATATAAAATTACTTCATACCTCATCACACCGATACTTCCATCCACTAGACTAATAACAATTTTGCTGAATGATTTGCTGCATGTTTAACTGCTTTTCTTCCCTGAGTTTGTAGGGGAAATACAAAACCATTGTAAAAATTTTCCAACTGTGACAAATGAAAACCCTGCTTTTTATTTGCATTTTTGTGTCAGTTATTTTAAAAGATCTGGAGCATACAAAGTGTTGTCAGTTTACTTCAGGTTTTATACATCAAGTACTCTGAAATTTCCGGCAGACCACAGACCTGTCTTACCTTTCGGATTATAGCGTGAATAGAAAATTTGCCCTTAAGCAGAAACTGTGCCACAAGCACAAGAAGCTGCCAGTTTGGCTGAGACCAAAGATCTGATATTCTAAGACGCCAGGGGATGCTTGAAGAATATAAAATATAAAGCCCCCTACAGATAATTCCTTTCCTGTCCCAGCTCCCAGCAGCGAGCTCTATGGAGAGGACTCTGCCTGCCGGTGAAGGGATTCCTGTTTGCCCAGCAAGTGGAGTGGGAAGCCCTGTTGATCTGGTAACTCTCGCCATGCACTTCCAAGCCCTTGGAGTATTTTCTTTCCCCCCCTCAGCTTCATTGGTGCTGCAGCCCCTTCAGCTGGTCCCTGGGAGCTGCCTTGCAGCCTGGCCCCTAAAAGACTAAAAGCAAGAGGAAAACACAGCCCGGTTGTGCAACTGCTGAACTTTGTTCATTTGGGCTTGTTTGGCGCAGGGAGCACATTTCAGAATTGGTCCCGAGAGCAGAGGCGGTGCAGACGGGGTGCTCTGCAGCGCAGGCACCTGGGGGCTCTCCTGGGGGCTGCATCCCAGCAAGGGTGGGGAGCAGCCGGGAAGGTGCCTGCTGAAGCAATACCATCTAGTGGCAGACGGAGATAAAGAATTCCCCCAACATGCAGAGCTGGAAAGGTGAAAACTGAAAAGAAAGTATTTAAAAACAAAACTACCTGCTTGTGAATTTTACTTTTTTTTTTTTTTTCGCCCAATATTTGTTTCCATGGTAATGTATCAAAAAGAAAGATATAGAACAGATGATCAGAAAAGGAGCTGGAGGAAGGGACTGTGGCTACTGGGGCCAGTAACAGGTTATAAGGACTCATCTTGCAGAAGTGCCAAGTGACCCAGGGGTCTGGCTTTTGAAATGAGATTTCCCAGCAGCAAACAAGCAGCGCTGTGCAGCATCAGCTTGGAAGCTGTTAACCACTCACCTAGAATTAGTAAATGTTTTTACGTGGTTAGAGCTGAGCCCCAGAGGAGATGGTGTAGAAGAAAGAGCTGCTGTGAGACAGGGCTTTAGTTCAAGTCATGGTTTGCCATGGCTAGGGGATGGATGTCATGTTTGTGACTGGATTTGGAGTGTGGAGAGGCAATTCCTATATGAGAGCTGGCATTTGTAGGGAATGATGTCTTTTATTATACAATCTGATAGAGCTCAAGCAAGCAGACAACTGTAGGGGCTCTCAGTCTCTTTTGCTGAATAATAAGGACTTCTGTGCTGTCACATTGTCCATTTTTTTCCGGTGATGTCACTTGATCTAATTAAAGATGTTACCTCTTCCTACCAAACCCTTCCTCTTTCAGTTTCTTGACATTGTTGGCTATGGCAATACTACAAATACTCTCCATTTAACTGGTTTGTGAACCTCTACACCCCAGAAAGAAAGAGATACATTCACATAAAGAATGGGTCAGCTAGCTCTTTGTGATACTCCAGGCCAAAAGCCCAACTTTTTGATACAAAGCACAGAGCATGTTACATCGCTGGCCACCAGCTTCTGTGGAAATAGAACCAGAGTAATGTTAATGTTTTGGGTTAGCAAAGAAAACTTTTATGTGGGCATTATAGGGGTATATTCCATGTTACAGTCCTCTTGTTTTTATAGCCCATCCTAGGATAAGTTGGAGCAAAGATACCCCTATTAGCTAATGGAACTTAGAAGTCCCACAATCTAATTTCCACCTCCGTTATTATTGCTGTCATTTTGCAAAAAACCCATAGGGCTACTGATAGAAGTGTCTGCCTTCCACCTGCGTTGCGAAATACCTGAGGCACCTACGTGAATAGAGTGGGAAAGGCTTCATTCCCATTGCTGATATAAGTCAAGCCATATTTACCAATTACAGATGAGACTCTCAATACTGAAGGAAAGAGAAATCCCCTTTTCCTATAGAGGCAAATGTAATCAAACTCTTACATGTTAGATGCAATTAAAGCAGTTTGTGACACTTTATACATCTGCCCAGACAAACAATACTGGCTATAGAGTGAATCTTGTGGATCTGTTTTGCAGGTTTGGGATGTGCTTTTCCAAAAAAGTAGTGTATGTTAGCACAAACGCATAGAAAACACAGCCCCTTCCCATTGCTGTTTGGGTTGTAGTTATCTTTGGAAAACATAACAGGTTTTTGTGAAGATGGAGAGTTATAGGCGTGACATTTCTCTTCTATGGAATATGAAAAAAAGCCAGATAATCCAATCCAGTGCATCAGGCAGCACAATTTTGTCACAAAGGGAAGACTATTTTTCTAGTTGACACTAGAAATTTTCCAAGAAAAAGATTTTCAGCAAAGGTAAAACAACTGGGCTGCTCTAAGTGGGCAGGAAAACCATCAAAAGCTGGAAACCTTGTAACCTTTATATCCAAACACAGAGGCACTAAACAATTCATCAAGGATTACGTGG